GTGCCGACAGTGACGTAACAATAGGAAGGATTATGTAACAATGGAAAAGTCATTAACATCAATTAACATCAATTAGCGATCACGATACCTTGAATGTTAATCAGGGATATCGATTCTTTATTAAAATAACAATATGCTACCGTTAAACTCATTTAAATAATGACATGCTGGTATCGGTATCATTAAACCGAATTCAATAAAGCATCAATTAGCGTCTCGTGGTCATTACAATCTAACACAAAATGATGTCTTATCAAAGAAACAGAATACCGTTATCATTGAAATAATAACACGGTGATTTTAGTAAAAATAACAATACGATGATACTGTTATCATTTAAATAACAACATGCTGATATTGATAGGAAAATTATTATAAATAGACAAGAGCAATATCACTTTCTGACGAGAACTTTTGCTGAGAAAAGATTATTTTTTACGAAATACTTTGAACATGAGTTTTTTCCAATCGAAAGAGCGTGCGGCATTTTGTTTACGAATGGACGAAGTTGCATCTTATGAAGTCAAAAATTTATGTGGTCTGATGGATGCTATATTTTCTGAAGCTGTTTCCGATGAAATAGCGAAAATACGTAAGGAAAAGTATTGTGACTGTAAAGTGGATTACCCGAGTCAGAGAAGACATGAATGTCTCATGTTAACACTTGAAGAAAGTTGGACAACGTACGGTTTGGACGCCATCGAGCAAGTAATCGAACGGGGAATACTCTGGAAACTGTTTAACGAAGCTATTCATGTGCTGAAATTGGATTATTACGAAGTTGTAAGAGAACATTATGAGAACTTGACTAAAAATTATGAAACAACTCTTGAATTCCTAAAGGATTTGAGGTATAACTCAGAATTTTTCGACTACCAAGCTATTTTGGGTTATCTATATTACTGGAGCGAAAACCAGTGTGCATGAAACAATATGCATGAAACGTTAGAACAGTATGTATAAAACACTAGCTTTTACATGTAATATTTTTGTTATGAACAAATTATTATTAAACGTAATGTTCAAAAGAAGGATAACGCAAATTATTTTAGAGCAAAATATGCTTGGATGCATACATAAATTAACAAACAGATCAATGAGTGCAAACGAAATACTCAAGAGAGGTTCGTTTTTTATGTAGATACCCTTGCAATAAATCGCTTGTAGTCCACAACGTTCAATGTTAATAAATATACTAAGCGAAGTAAGCACATGCACGCGTTACTATGCGTTGTTATGCTCGCTATTTGCATACACCTACGGTCATTAAACGATCATTAGCGATAAGATGCGTACAGTGTACATAATAGGGATATTGAAGGATAATACCGGGCTATTATAAGCGTGGGGACAGAGCGCGGGCATAAAATAGGCAAAAGCACATGATTTCATTTTCAGAGCACATTTATTTCTTTAATTAAGTACTACAGAGTTAATAATTCTTGTCTGTATAAATATATTATCCACTTAAGAGTTTTATTCCGTTTTTGTTTCTAACTTTAACCACTCCTTTGAGCTATCATCCATTTCTGTAATGTCCACATTCTTTGCAGGCTTTGTATTTGATTTTGTTCTCTTCCTGGAGGATTTTGATTGACGGATGGGTATATTCTTTATTCCGCTTTTATTCCACTTTGACTGCTTTTTACTCTTCCCAATTAATCTGTACAACTCTGCTAAAACATTTTCTAAGTCTAAAGCTGTTGGCTTAGCACCAATAAGATAAGGTTGTCTTTCTTCGGAAGAAAGTTCATGGACGTCTGCCAAATGGTTTGCCAATCTTTTTAAAGCTCGCTTGACGCAGATGGGACAATCTTTACACTTCCGATGCATAATGTCATATGATAAATGTCAACTGATTTCCTAACATTAAATAGTTGTGGCCCCAAAGGCCTTTTTGAAGGTTTGCAGGCACTTGGGAGAGGGTTCGAGAAATGGGTTAGGGGAAAATAGCAACCACACAGGATCGTATTTTATTTTATTTTATTTTTATAAACCAAACACAAACAATCATTAAGGATCAATGTCACTAGGAGACCATGTGTTTCTGAAAAGTCTTTTCAAAAGAAATTTTCTCTTGTCAATAGCGGCCTCTAACGCTTCCATGTGGTTGAAATTATCGTCGTTGACAAAGACATCCCTGGTTTCCATAATCTTTTTGGGTAATGGATCCCTCTTTAGTTGTCTTATCCATAGTACGGACGTTCCAGATAAATATTCTGCAAGCCTTTACGAAGTTTTGGTAGGATAAGTAAGTATGCCTTGTCTTTAGCTTCGTTTTCGTCAAAACCTTCTGCAGTGAAATTCTGCGTTAGTTCTTCAAATTCCGACAAACTTTGTTGGGCTGCTTCAGCTTTTAAAGGAGCCCATGGATCGCTTTCGTATTCATCACCTAGTTTACTACTAGTATCATCTACATTATCAGAATCACTTTCCACTTCGTTGTCAGTGTTACACGAATTCTCAACATCACTCTCTGATGTAGCACTATCAGAGGCTGCGCTCGTTCTCATTCTTTTCATTTTTACACTGAAATCTGTAGTAGGTTTCCAACAGTACTGTATTTCCTTCGTATATTGTTAGGTTGAAACAACTCCAGCCACAACCAACCGGCGAATGATCAATATTTTGAACAACATTACATTTTATGAAGTGTCCCTAAGGGCCTTTTCTATGGCCTTGCGTCCCGATTGATGATTGGTTAGGATGGGCCACTTTTGGCATTGGCCCCAAGGGCCTTTTCTATGGCCTCGTGACCCGATTCTCTAGAACTCTCTTGATGGGGTGGCTTGGTGTGAAGTATCCTTGCCAATCGGGCCACAAGGCCATAGAAAAGGCCCTTGGGGACACTTTTCGAATTGGCCACAAGGGCCTTTTCTATGGCCTCGTGACCCGATTCTCTAGAATCCTCTTGGTGGGGAGGCTTGGTGGAAAGTCGCCCTGCCAATCATCAATCGGGACACAAGGCCATAGAAAAGGCCCTTAGGGACACTTCATAAAATGTAATGTTGTTCAAAATATTGATCATTCGCCGGTTGGTTGTGACTGGAGTTGTTTCAACCTAATAATATACGAAGGAAATACAGTACTGTTGGAAACCTACTACAGATTTCAGTGTAAAAATGAAAAGAATGAGAACGAGCGCAGACTCTGATAGTGCTACATCAGAGAGTGATGTTGAGAATTCGTGTAACACTGACAACGAAGTGGAAACTGATTCTGCGTCGGAAAGTGATTCTGATAATGTAGATGATACTAGTAGTAAAGTAGGTGACGAATACGAAAGCGATCCATGGGGTCCTTTAAAAGCTGAAGCAGCCCAACAAAGTTTGTCGGAATTTGAAGAACTAACGCAGAATTTCACTGCAGAAGGTTTTGACGAAAACGAAGCTAAAGACAAGGCATACTTACCTATCCTACGAAAACTTCGTAAAGGCTTGCAGAATATTTATCTGGAACGTCTACTATGGATAAGACAACTAAAGAGGGATCCATTACACAAAAAGATTATGGAAACCAGGGATGTCTTTGTCAACGATGATAATTTCGACCACAGGGAAGCGTTAGAGGCCGCTATTGACAAGAGAAAATTTCATTTGAAAAGACTTTTCAGAAACACATGGTCTCCTAGTGACATTGATCCTTGTGTTTGGTTTATAAAAATAAAATAAAATACGATCCTGTGTGGTAGCTATTTTCCCCTAACCCATTTCTCTAACCCTCTCCCACGTCCCGGCAACCTTCAAAAAAGGCCTTTGGGGCCACAAATATTTAATGTTAGGAAATCAGTTGACATTTATCATATCACATTATGCCTCGGAAGTGTAAAGATTGTCCCATCTGCGGCAAGCGAGCTTTAAAAAGATTGGCAAACCATTTGGCAGACGTCCATGAACTTTCTTCCGAAGAAAGACAACCTTGTCTTATTCGTGCTAAGCCAACAGCTTTAGACTTAGAAAATGTTTTAGCAGAGTTGTACAGATTAATTGGGAATAGTAAAAAGCAGTCAAAGTGGATTAAAAGCGGAATAAAGAATATACCCATCCGTCAACCAAAATCCTCCAGGAAGAGAACAAAATCAAATACAAAGTCTGGAAATAATGTGGACAATACAGAAATGGATGATGGCTCAAAGGAGTGGTTAAAGTTAGAAGCAAAAACGGAATAAAACTCTTAAGTGGATAATATATTTATACAGACAAGAATTATTAACTCTGTAGTACTTAATTAAAGAAATAAATGTGCTCTGAAAATGAAATCATGTGCTTTCGCCTATTTTGTCCGCGCCCTCTGTGCCCACGCTTATAATAGCCCGGAATTATCCTTCAATATCCCTATTATGATGTACACTGTACGCATCTTATCGCTAATGATCGTTTAATGACCGTAGGTTTATGCAAACAGCAAACATAACAACGCATAGTAACACGTGCATGTGCTTACTTCGCTTGATACATTTATTAACATTGCACGTTGTGAACTACAAGCGATTTATTGCAAGGGTATCTACATAAAGAAACGAACCTCTCTTGAGTATTTTGTTTGCACTCATTGATCTGTTTGTCAATTTATGTATGCATCCAAGCATAGTTTGCTCTAAAATAATTTGCGTTATCCTTCTTTTGAACATTACGTTTAATAATAATTCGTTCATAACAAAAATATTACATGTAAAAGTATAATTTTAAACATACTGTTCTAACGTTTCATGCATATTGTTTCATGCACACTGGTTTTCGCTCCAGTAATATAGATAACCCAAAATAGCTTGGTTGTCGAAAAATTCTGAGTTATACCTCAAATCCTTTAGGAATTCAAGAGGAATTCCTTTAGGAATTTTTAGTCAAGTTCTCATAATGTTCTCTTACAACTTCGTAATAATCCAATTTCTGCACACGAATAGCTTCGTTAAACAGCTTCGAATTCCAGAGTATTCCCCGTTCGATTACTTGCTCTATGGCGTCCAAACCGTACGTTGTCCAACTTTCTTCAAGTGTTAACATGAGACATTCATGTCTTCTCTGACTCGGGTAATCCACTTTACAGTCACAACACTTTTCCTTACGTATTTTCGCTATTTCATCGGAAACAGCTTCAGAAAATATAGCATCCATAAGACCACATGAATTTTTCACTTCATAAGATGCAACTTCGTCTATTAGTAAACAAAATGCCGCACGCTCTTTCGATTGGAAAAAACTCATGTTCAAAGTATTTCGTAAAAATAATCTTTTCTCAGCAAAAGTTCTCGTCAGAAAATGAAATTGTTCTTGTCTATTTATAATAATTTTGCTATCAATATCAGCATGTTGTTATTTAAATGATAACAGTATCATCGTATTATTATTTTACTCAAATCATCGTGTTATTATTTCAATGATAACGGTATTCTGTTTCTTTGATAACAATGACTACGAGACGCTAGTTGATGCTTCATTGAATTCGGTTTAATGATACCGATACCAGAATGTCATTATTTAAACGATAACGGTATCATATTGTTATTCTAATAAACAATCGATATCACTAATTAAGATTCAAGGTATCGTGATCGCTAATTGATGTTAATTGATGTTAATGACTTTTCCATTGTTACATAATCCTTCCTATTGTTACGTCACTGTCGGCACCCTTTGGGCGCTATATGGGTGGATTATCTACTTGTGCGTCTTATTGACATACAGGTAAATTAAGATCAGATTTCATATCAAGTCTGTTTACTGCTAGGCGCATTTACCACATTATATAGACTATATATACACAGATTTATCACACTAAGAAACCAAAACTTTATTAAAAAATATATAACTGACATTGGCCAAAGTCTAAAACAAATGTAAGCGTAACATTAGACTTGAAAAAGCTTTAGAAATTCGATAAAAATTCGAAGAGTCGAGCTACAATCACTTTCAGAAGTTGTTGGGACACATGTAGTTTTAGCTTGTAAGTGGATCATTATAGTTTTTTACACACAATACCGCTCCCCTCCCCCTCCCCCCACCCCAATCAATGTTGTTTAAACCAAAACACATCAAACCCGACGAGAAATGGGACACAACATTGAACAGGGGGCGGGGGGGATTGTCGTTTGTTGAAATTCAAAGGTTTTGTGGCATCTGTCCCAAGACTTTTGAAACTGATTGTCTGAAAGGCAATGAAAAGCATATTTAACCTCTTTGAATTACCGAGTGTTTTAGAATATCAGTTTTGCGAAAATCGTATAGCATTTAGTATAACATATTTACGGAATTGCACTGGCATATATAATGCTTTTATACTGTGCTTGTTGTGGTCAATATATTTGAAATGTAACATAATCCAACAGACTGAGCAGTATATTATAAATGAGCTTATAAACAGATGTGATATGTGGGGAGGGACGTATGCTGAGAGATTAAACCTGCTCTATATGCAAGGGATAAAACACATCTATCTGGTTAATTATCGACCTAGGTTATTGCTGAATAAAATGCAAGGGTAAGTTATCGAAAACCACTTAAAGATTGTGCATATTTGACATGAAAATATGTATGTAATATAAAACGGTTTGAACACGTGCTCGATTGTCACTCGGTTGTCACTTTGAAACACATAGCATTTTCATTGATATAACTTTCAATTGTCGCGGGATAATAATTTTCAGAATATTAAGTACTAAGCAAAAGTGTTTAGGTAGCGCGTATTGATATATTACGGGTTCTACTTAATCGCAAAGTATATAAATTGTATAAAATGTATCGATTGACACTCAACTCTAGAAATATCACTATGATATATCAGATTTATTTATGTAGAAAAGTGTCAATCGATCCAAAACTTGGCTTAATCAATTTCAAACCCTTTCATTAATAGCAAATACATTGTTAGACATTCTCAACAAATTATTCTTAGCCTTGTTCTGATTTAAAAGCTGCCTAGTTGCCCATTATTTCATATTTCTATAGTGACAATCGAAGTGACAACCGATGTTAGTTTCATTGCATTCGTCTGGACCGGAAACGCTTATTAGCATAATTAGCGTATAACACTAACTTTGTGTTGTATAATGCGTACAACGCCGTATACAGCGAGTCCCTTTCTTTACATATTTTTGGAAGTCTGTGCAACTCTCTTGCTTCGGCGGGTCGCGCGCGCTAGTACTTGCTAACGCGTCAGCATTAGGGAGGTCTATAAGCCCTGGAGAAATCACGAAGTCCGGGTCATTCTTTACCACGTACGAATACGCTGAATAGTAATTTTTGGGATTGTCTGACTGAGTTCAATTAAATGCCGAATTTACTCTTCTCGAGCTTTCCGATAGCTCGCCAACTTGATCTTGCGGACAAGTTTTTAGCCATGTGGAAGTGACTATATATACTATATGATACCGCCCTTTCCATTAGCCTCCGAAATTCCCACCCACTGAGTGCTCCTTCGTACCCATGCGTCGACAATTATATCTGCAAATTCTGCTCTAGAAAGATGTGAAATGTCACATTCACTATTGGTGATAAAAATCAAACGTTCTTTACCTTCGGAGTACCCGAATTAGCAGTTGACTCAGCCCTTACCCGCATGCGAAAGTAACCGGATGTTATATTACTATGCTATAAATTAACAGTATGTGTGACATATCTAGCGTAAAACATTTGCGATACCTATCTTTATTGACGGACTATAACCTCTCAAATAACCTACTAGTGCTCTGCCAAAATTTGTAGAAACAAACAACGTATAAAACCTTTGTGATTAAGAATGCAATATGACATAACAAATTATATTCATATTCTGTTAATTATTAACTTTGAGAATTTTAATGAAACTTAATTGTTCTACAATGTCATTAGATGTTCTGTGAACGAAATGGAGCTGAAATACTTCGTTCGCAGACCATTCTATTCCCTGTACTTTTGAGATGTACAATGATGTTATGGCATATGGGGCCCAGACAATCACTTTCAGAAGTTGTTGGGACACATGTAGTTTTAGCTTGTAAGTGGATCATTATAGTTTTTTACACACAATACCGCTCCCCTCCCCCTCCCCCCACCCCAATCAAAGTTGTTTGAACCAAAACACATCAAACCCGACGAGAAATGGGACACAACATTGAACAGGGGGCGGGGGGGGATTGTCGTTTGTTGAAATTTAAAGGTTTTGTGGCATCTGTCCCAAGACTTTTGAAACTGATTGTAGTTTAAAATTTGTGTTCTGCGCATAGAAAGTGCGCACGGGCACAATTCCATGCGCTAAATAGGATTGAGTGCAAAACCCCCTCTCTGCACATATTAGGCTGCTGCTACGCTCGCTTCAGGCTCGCTCGCTCCGCAGCAATAAAAATTTTTCTGTTCACTGTCTTCACTATACTTGGCCAGTTCTTTATTGACTGCCAATGCTTTCTCCTTAAGTTCTTGGTTATTTTCCGGGTCCGACTTGATAGCTTAACATAGCTTGTCAATGCTCTTAGCAACATCTTTAGCACTATTTCTTTTCAAATCGTTAGTACCTACGTGCACTATAATGTTTTTAGGTTTCCTCTTTAGGGAAGGTTTAACGGAATCAGTTAGATCTTCAACAGTTGAACCAGAGAAGGATTTAACCTGAGCTTTGTGCTTGACCGATTTGGAAATCTTCTCAGGACGAAGTCCTTTGATCATGGAATCTCCAATAATTATCGTAACCGGATTGTTGTTTTCAACTGCATTTTTAGGGCTAGTCGGCTTGGATGGTTTGGGTTCGCTTTTATCTTTCTGTTCGTCCAAATTTGGCTGATGATCTTGTGTATTTCCTTTGGGTTGCTGTCGTCCTTCCATCTTTCTACTATCATGCCCGCTTCGGCTTCGGTTTAGTTTAGGTCGGTTCGAGTATGCGATATTTCGGAACTGAGTCTAGTTCCTTCGAAATCAGTGTAATCTAATAATCATGATATTTGATGTGTTGGTGTAATGTACTCAGGTGATTAAGATGCTGTCTGATGTTACTCTGAGTGCATATCCACACCAGGCAGGCATGAAAAATATGCCTGGCCACGGTGGGATTCGAACCTACGACCTTTGGAATACTAGCCCAGTGTGGATATACACACAGAGTAACATCACACAGCATCTTATTCACCTGAGTACATTACACCAACACAGCAAATATCAAAACCTGATATCTTGGAAAAATCAAAATAAATATTTCTACTCGCCGTATTCAAACAAGACTTTCTACACGAATACAAAGAGTATTTTACTCAAATAGCCTTTCAGAAATTGACGATAAGTTTAGAATATTTTCAATCGTATTCCCAGCGGTGAATGAATATATGATTGTTTCGGTTTGCGTAACGTTATGACGGCATTTGACCCCCCCCC